GTGCATACATATTCAAATGTTTGACTATCACTTGCTTGTCTTCATTAATTCTATAGAGAGATCTCATTTATTGATAGCTGGGTATGTTCCTGTTTTAAAGACTGGAGAACTAGCTGTGAATACAGCACAAAGATCACTTCAGAGAAATGAAAGTCTAGCCTTGTAGGTACTACGTTAACCACAGCTTTTCAAACCAGCAAATCTTGGGTGAAGTTGGTCTTTCATCATGGAGGATGGGAAGAAGGTGCACCTAAGTCATTAGTGCATCTCCCTGTGGGGAGGAATTGACTTAACAATTACAAGAGAGGGACTTAGTAAAGTTTGTACTGTGTGTTACTGTGTGTGTGTGTGTTTAGTAGTGATGGAATAAGATTGCTCACATATTCTAAGAAGTTGCTCTGTAGGTGAGCTACACCCTGAGCCCTGGTAAAGCATTTAAACATTATTTTCATAATTAAAATGTCTCCCAGGCATGGATGAACATGACTGCAATCCCAGTCCTGGGAAGGCTGAGGCAATAGGAGGTCAGTCCAACTTATGAGGACTCTGTCTCAAAAAGCCACCATGACAACAATAACAACAAATCCCAGAGAAGATGAACAACAAAATAATTTTATCATGGAATGTGAGAGACTGTAGATAACTTGAATGACTTTTCATTGGGAAAGCTTGACATACACATTAGCTGTCTCCAAACCATTCTCTCTCTCTCTCTCTCTCTCTTTCTCTCTCTCTCTCTCTCTCTCTCTCTCTCTCTCTCTCTCTCTCTCTCTCTCTCTCTCTCATACACACACACACACACACACACACACACACACTCAGACCTGAAACTGGAGTTATAAACAAAGCATTGTGAGCTGTTATGTGGGTTGGGAATTGAACTCAAAACCTCTGAAAGAGGAACCAGTGCTCTTAACCACTGAGCCATCTCTCCAGCACCAGTTTGTAAAAATTATAAACGAAGGCATTATGAATGCATTCCTACAAGCAAAGCAGGGAAGTTCTGTCTGTTTCAACATTTTCGTCTTCGTGTTCTTTTTTTGATAGTAGTAGCTCATTGTGGTTGTATTTTTACTATATATTGTTAGATGAGGTTGCATTGTGTAACTCAGGCTGGCTTAGAACTCAGAACCCTTCTGCCTTGGTCTTTTTAGTTTGGGGTTACATTTCTGGCTTCTCTTTTTCTTTCTTTCATTTTCTTCTGTTTCTTTTTGAGACAGGGTTTCTTTTAGCTCAGGCTGGGCTGGCCTTGAACTCCCAATCCTCCTGCCCCTGCTTTCCAGCAGCTGAACCACCACAGTCAGCTCACTTCTTTTATATCTTTTTTTTTTTTTTTTTGCAAACTAGCCTAGTCATCTTTGTGTAGATTTAAATTTCTTTTATTCTTTTCATTGCATTTTGAGAGTTAATAGTGTAAAATATCTGAATGTTTATTTATTTAAACTTTTAATTTATTCTTTGTCTTCACTTCATGCATCTTGATCCCATTCATCTCCCCAACCCTTCCCATCCTTTCTCTGCCCTTGCAACACCCCCCCCAATAAAATTTAAGAGAAAAGAAAAACCTCGTTGTTGTGGAAGCTGTAGTTTGTTACAGTGAGTCACGAAGTAAACCTTTTAGTTCTTATATCTTTCTCTGCAAGTCCCCATTGCAGAGAGCCATTGTTTTAGACTTTTGGTTTCTGCTACACTATGGATGTTGGGCCCTCACTGGGACTCCTCTTGGGTTTCCTGTCGTTACCCTGTGTCATAGAGATCCCGCAGCTTTGAGTCTGCAACACCAGCACCTCATGTGCTCCAGCAGATCATAGATGGGGTGGATTTTGGGGGTGCATCAGTTCATAGCCTTGGTTCTGAGCTTGTGTGGTCAGCCCGCCAGCTGTTCCTCATCCTCACCACCAGGGTGAGCTCTCCGGCACTGCTCCAGCTAGCTCACCCTACTCAGCAAAGAGCAAGGGGTGGGGCGGGGCCAGTTCTGCTCTCAGGCCCTCAGGACGACTCGCCCACACCTACGTCACCAGGGCCAGCTCTGCGGTGTTGCCCAGACAAGCGGGGGTCACTCTGCTGTAGCTGGTGAGGGGCACGGGCAGCCCTCCCGCTCTGATCTCAGGGTTAGCTCTCTCACCTGCTGGTAGTCAGGGGCGGGGGTGGGAGGGCACCTCTGCCTTGCCCCCACCGCTGCATGGCCAGTCTCTCATGATCACGTTTTCGAGGCCAGCTCACCCTTGCTGGTCCTCAACACCCTCCCTCCCCCTGTTGGTAGGGTCATTTCTACTGTGCTGGGCCCATTCTCCGGAATGCTGCAGTCAGTGAGGGGCGGGGCCGTTCTCCCTAGTGTTGGAGCCTGAGAGGTGAGGCCCACTCCGTGCAGCCCTCTGGGACATAACAGGAGCCATGGACCCAGGTATGGCCCTTGGTAGCATCCCAGACCCAGATATCACCATGGCCCAAGGTGGCAAGGAGGCCTCCTCAATGCCTTCACTTCTTCAGATCTGCCGCCTCTTTCCACGGGACACAGGGCAAGAACTCCCTCTTTTCCCCCTCCCCCACCATACATTTGCCCAACTGCCTGGCTCTGCAAGGGCAGGTGCTGGGCAGGGTCTTGCTTTCTCCTCTCTGCCCAGGGCCGGCCACCCCAAGGAAGGCGTGTGTTGGATGTTATTTTTAAAATTGTGTGTGTGTATGAGCTTGCTTGTGCACCACACTGAATGTGGGGGTCAGAGGATAACATTAGCGTTGATTCTTGCCTTCTGCTTTATTTGTGGCAGGGTCTTGTTTACCACTCACTACACGAAAGTAGTCCAGCTGACCTGAGACCTTGCAAGTTTTCTACTTCCAGTCTTGCTATAGGAGCTCTGGATTACAGAGACAGGTGCTCCACGAGCCTGACTCACTTAAGCTCTGGAGATTCAAACTCTGGTCCTCACATTCACATGGCAAGTGCCTTACCCACTGAGTCATCTTCCCAGCTCTAGATGTTTACTTTTAAAGAAAACCACTTAAATCTGTTTGATATATTTCAGCTAGTGTATACAAATTGCTATTTTAATTTCATACTTCATCTAGTTTTATAAGATTTAAATGATTTTGTATTTTTAAAGATTTCTTAAAAACAGATTTTATAATAGCATACAAAGGTAATACTATCTTTTGGAGAATGTTTCCCTATAAAAAAAGATGGGAAGAAATTTTACTTCAAAATCAGAAACACTTGCCTCCAAGTTCTACAAAGGTAGTCTGTGTGTATAAAACTGGATCATAACCTAAACATATCTGTTTTGCTCCTTACTAAATGGAATAATGTGTAACCCAAGAGAAAATATGAACACACTGATTCCAAATGACATTTAAAGACTAAGAGGAGGAATTTGCCATTGCACTCCACAATCTAGCCCTGAGGGAAGTTGAGATAGGATGATCATGAAGCCAGCTTGGGCTCCACAATGAGTTTGAGGTCAGCCTGGGGTACATAACAACACCTTACCTCAAAAATATTAATTTCTAAATCAGTCTCTGTTTAGAAGTTACTAAGTAACCCAGAAGACAATATGTTAAAAGTGCTTTTCCTTCCCAGAATCTGTACCTGGGGAAAAGGAAGTTTTTTTGGGGGGGTTTGGTTTTGTTTAAAGCTAGTGCATCTTACCTGACGGTATCAAACTGCAAGCTCATCTTGATTTGTATTTGCACCTGTATCTCTGATTTGCAAAAGACGATGCGTACAGTTTCAAAATAGCAAAAAATGTCAGTTTGTTACAATATTAACCTGTGGGTCAGCACTCTATGCAGTAGAGCATGGTGCCTTGCAAATCTGGGCTCTTCGCCGTGTCTAATCGTTACTGTAGTTAATAATCTCCTTGTGTGCTTCTTTAACCGTGTAACTCATAATTGTTAGAGAAGCTGAAACTGCAAGAAGCTCCTTTCCTTATGAAGATTCCCAGGTCCCTGCAGCTTTCCGGGGCAGCTCCCTGGCTCCGGGTTCCTCCACCCCTCCGCGGCACAGAGCATCCATCCCTCCCGCTTTGCAGATGGAGTTCGTGGTTAAGCTTCTTGAGCGCCGACCCTGTCCCATTCCAGGCCACGTGTGCAGACAACCCTTGTCGCACTTTTTATTCCCTTTTGGGGAAAACAAGGGTTGCTGCCACAGGGTCTTGGCCACTTTCCCTGTCATCGCTGAGCAAAACTAGTTCACACATGCTTAAAAAATAACGGCCGCGCCAATTCTCTGGCTAGAAGGTTAAGTGCAAGACCGCGCCCCCTCCGTGGCGCGCGAACGCGGGCCCGCGAAGTCCTCCGCCTCCCGGGACCCCGAGCACCCGGGGCCGGGGAGGCGAAGGCGGCGGCGGGATCGGTCGGGGCGCCGCTTCCGGCCCACCCACGCCCCGGGAGCGCAGAAACTCGCCTTCCCAGCAACCTCCGCGCGGGGTGGGGGCGCCCCCCTCGGCCGTGTGGCTCACACAGCGTTCCGGGTCCTGTCAGCAGCCCGGCCCGGCGCGCGAACCGCGCCTCGCGCCTCCCGCGGCCTCCGGGCTCTCACTCCCGCGAGTTCCAGCCCCGCCCCCGCGGCCCCGCCCCCCGCGGCCCCGCCCCTCCGGCCTGCGCCGCGCGCGCGCCCCGCCCCGCGGCCCCGCCCCCCGCGGCCCCGCCCCGCCCCCGCCCCCTCGCGCAGCCGCCGCAGCCAATGAGCGTCGGGGCCGCGTGCGCAGATTCAAACGGCGGCTCTTGAGGGAGGCTGGGCGCGAGATTCGGCGGTGCGGACAAAACCCTGCAGGAGGCTGCGAGTGCCGCAGAGCTGCTCGCTGCGGGGACCGGGCGGGGGTCGGCGCCCGGGACGGACTCGGCGGCGGCGGCGGCGGCGGCGGGGGCGGGAGCACGCCTGCTGACATGCTGAGGGCATCCCTGGCCCGGCCGGGCCGCGCCTAGGAGCGGCGGGTCTTGGTCCGCCCCTCTGTCCCCCCGCAGTGCCGCCTGGCCCCGACCTGACCCGGCCTGCGTTCCTCTCTCGGCCGCCGGAGGGCGGAGGCGGCGGAGGCGGCGGAGGCGGCGGAGGCGGCGGGAGGGTCTCGGCTGGAGGAGGCTGGCCCGCGTCCCCGCCCAGCCCGCGCCTATGCGGTACCTGAAGGATGGCGAAGAGGTCGCGCAGGTGGGTGGCATCCCCTGGCCCCGGGCCGAGCGGCCCTGTCCGGCCTCCCCCGCTCGTCCCCACTCGGGCCCTCTCAGGCCTGGGCGCACGGGTTTTGCTGCCCCTGTCGGGACCGCTGGGGGGGGGGCGGGGATGACGGCGACACTGGCTCAGGTGGCTCCTCTGCGCGGGTCCTCCCTCGGCTCCCCGCCACTCCCTCCCTCCCTCTCCCTCCCTCTCAGGGAGCAGGGAGGTTTGCAGCCAGGTAAGTGTGTGCGCTTCCGGGGGATGCGCCGCACCGGGAGCGCTTGGGTCTGCCTGCATGACTTGACAGCACTGGGGTCCTCTCCTCTGACTTGCCGAGCCAGCCAAAACAGGATCTCTGTGACAAACCTGGGTGGGCACCGTCCTGGGAAACCCTCCTGAGACGGGGACCTGCTAAAAGTCTTCTGTCATCCCCATACTGCTGTTCTCAGCGGTTTTTTCCCCTTCTCAGAAGATTGTTGCTACCATCGGGTAAACTTGATACTAAAACAATGTGTTGCAGTTACATTGTATTCTGAGTGTTCGTGGTTGAGTCTGACTGTATCTGTGTTGTAACAAGTAGGACTCAATTTTATTGTTGTTGTTGAAACGTGTATTAGAATGTCTCTGTGAGCCTAACTTTTATTTTAATGCCGTCGTAATAGCTACTCCTAAGTTGTGTGGCATAATCAGATGACAAAAATCCAGCGTCTCGATTTTCAGTGTTAAGGAATTGGGCAGATTTTCCAAATATTTCAGTTTACCTAGATCCGCAGCCTCAAAATCTTTGAGTTGTATTTCCTGAGTTGAAATTTAGTACTGGAAATCATTCATTACAGATTTAGCTTTAAAATAACTACACAAAAAATACTTTATTTATTATGGTCCTGCAGATATCAACATAAATTTTATTAAGACGTAGCTGCCTTATTTGTAGCGGCTACAGAAGAGATTGGTCATTGAAGTGGACCGAATGAATACACCCACAGGCATGCCACCTTGACACTGTTATTATTTTGGGTTAGATAGTTGAAGGATTTGTAGCGGCATCTTTACCTCTGCTCAGTAGAAGACTAGCCCTTTTCCCCCAGTCTGGACAACCAGCATTTATGGATGGTGCCACTTATCTTTTGGGGGATGGAAACAAGGACATTCAGGTAAGAACCGCTGGTCTGCAACTTCAAGGACATAACATTGCAATCTTCAGAAAACGTGTGGACTTAAAATAATTAAGATTGCTGGAGTATTGCTTTAGGCATTTTGAAATTTTAATTCTAACAGTGTTTTTAAATGATGTAAAATGAAGTTAATGTGTCAAGCCAGTAAGAGAACCTTGTGTCTATCCACTCTGTGCATTATCTACTTAGAATCATTGTTAATCTTACATGAAACAGTATCTTGGCTAATTCAGTCATCTCTTTTAGTTAAAAGTTACTGTTAAATGCTGATGTATGAATGCCACATTCTTCTCAGTTTTTTTTTTTTTTTTTGGTGTGTGTGTTTTCATGTCACAGTTGATCTTGCTTCCTGATAGTTGGTTGAGGAGAAATGATTTAACCATTACTTCTTGCAAATTATTTTATTATCTGTCCTGGGAGTTTGACCTCTAAACATTAATTGTACTGTTGATTTTTATTTCTTGCCAGTTAATTGAAACAATATAGAACGGTGTCAAGAGTAATTGCACTGCAGTGAAACTGCACTTCTCTGGGAGGGAGGATATGGAGAGAAGGTGTGGTGAGAAATCATGGTCTCTGGTGCGCTTCTTTGGGTTTTCTTCAATGAGTTTTAGGGGTTGTTAAGGTTTCTGTATATTTAAAAATGACTCCTGTATATTAAAGGCTAGTAGAATGTGAAATGTTTGAAGGTGGAATATTCAATGGGCACTCTTATTTTGGTGAAAATCTTAGTATAGATGAGTTCAATTTATAACAGAGAAATCAAGTCTTTCAGTCATTCGGTACTTTGAGATCCCCAGCATACACTTATTAATGTGAATGGAAAATTTTATAAGGATATAGGCATAAATTCTATAGAAGACTCTTTTTGTGTGATCTGAAAAAAAGCTAAGATCAGAAAATGTTTACTTTAAATATGAACTAACTGAAAGATAGTGGCTCTTTTAATTTTTTTAATAGCTGCAGAGGCTCACTAAGATTTGCATATAGGCAAAGGTCATGTAGTATTGTGACTTAAAATAGTTTTAGAACCCAGTGGGGGTTTTAATGAAGTAATTTATAGCTAATTATTATTAGCATTTGGCTTTTAAGCATTTTTATATAAAAATAAGTGTAGTTTTATTTAGTACTTAAAATTTTTATCTTTTCTTTTCATGTGTGTGCATTAATGCATGCCTGCCAAGGTGTGCAAGGTAAAAGGGCAATTATCTGGAATAGTTCACTTCTTGTGCTATGTGTGTCCTGAGGATCAAATTCAGGTTGACAGGCTTGGCAGCAAACACTTGTTCAGCCATCTTTACTGTCCCAGTTTAGTTTTTAAAGACTACTTAAACACTTAAAAATAATTATACTTACAGTAATTGTGATCCTGCAAAGCCTGCTTACTAGGTACAGGTTAAGATATTTATACTTAAGATGACCAGCTATTAAATTAAAATGATAAGATGAAAGGTATCTATATACAGAAAATACAGAAAATTTTTCCTTGGTAGTATGTATGCGTGTGTGTGTGTGTGTGTGTGTGTGTGTGTGTGTGTGTGTGTGTGTGAACAACTTCACTGTTGTTTCTAGAAACATGAGTGGAAGTGAATGTATGTAAAACTATGAGAAAGGATTTTTTAGTCATCTTTGTCCTTAACTATCAGCATTATTTTGGGAAAGCTGATATAATGTATTTCATTTTTTATTTGTTCATACAAAGGGTTTGGACTTTTTAGTCTGTAAGGTAGCTTATAGCTTTAATGTGTATACTATTTTGAGAAATTATTTCTAAATGGATTAGAAATATTGTCCATTGTTTTTGTTTATGGGTAGTTATATAGAACTCTTTTCAGTATTTATTTCAATGGTTGTATTATTAATGGTCCAGATTATCTGAAGTCAAATTTTGTCTCACTCTAGAGGTGGAAGCCAGTATTCATGCATGCAGTACAGCATATTAACCACTGGGTGGCCTATTTCACTTTGTTAAATCAACTTGGTAAATTCTCATAATTTGAATGCAGTTGAACTGAAAATAATTATATATACAGTTGCCCTTACCTCAAAAAGTATAGCAAAGATTGACAAGGTCTCTGTGTAGTACTGGATAGCCTCAAATTTACTGTCTCATTATGTAACCGGGGCTGGTCTTGAATTCATGAAAATCTTGTTGAAATTGTGGATGTGAGCCATTGCAGATATGAGTCATAATGAACAGCTTTCTCTTTTTTTATTATAACTATTTGAGATATGAGAAAATTTTAATTAAAAATGTCATCAAGTTGAAGCAGTTTTCCTAGAACAAATTCTTTAATTTCTCTCATTTCAAACTAGTTCCTTTTTCAGTAAAAGTAAATTATATTGTTCCTTTGCTTAACTCATTTTTATTAGATTGTCTGTTATTCTGTACTTCTCCCAAACATTTTCTCTTAAAAACCAAGTCAAATTTTGTGTATTGATCCACAAGTGAAGTCATGACTATCAGCTTATACCCCAATGTGAAATTACTCCTAACCATTTTCCTAGCCTAACATGGTACAGATATTTTTATGTTCCTTTTTATTGTTTCATCATCTTTATCATTTCTTTTAACCGTAAAACAGTTTCTAGTGGCAGTGCACATCTACAATACTCAATCTTGGAAGACAGGAAGGGAGATCATTAGTTCAAGGCCAGCCTAGAATACATAGTGAATTCAGGGTTACCTTGAGATGTTGTATCAAAAACAAAGCAAGCTGGGCGGTGATGGCGCGTGCCTTGATCCCAGCACTCTGGAGGCAGAGGCAGGTGGATCTCTGTGGTTCGAGACCAGCCTGGTCTACAAGCCACAGAGAAACCCTGTCTTGAAAAGCCAGAAAAGGAGGAGAAGAAGAGGAAGAAGAAGAGGAAGAGGAAGAAGAAGAAAACCCAAAAAACCAAAAACAAATATCCCAAAACAAAACAAAACCAAAAGGGAAATAAAAACTAAGCATGAAATCCTAGCTTTAGAAAAAGAATTTTTCTTGACCTAAATAAGAATAGTAGCAATGATTGTGGAGACCATATCTTAGGTTGGTGAACCTTTTGCTTTATACCTAGAATAGTATTTTACCTACTTCTGTTGTCCTCTAGGTTAATCATGCTAGAGTAGAAATGAGTAGAGTAGAGTAACTCAGTTTTACTGAATCATTGTATATCACCAGTACTGATTTCTGCAGTGCAAAAATGCCCTCAAATCCTGTAAAACATTGAAAAATGATAAGCTCTGTCTACGTTTCTAACTCCTTCATTGTTACATAGTGAAAGTGGAACTTCAACAAGGTTACATGTAAAGATAAACTCTTCTCCTTTAAAATTATTTTTTTATACTTGTGTGTGTATGTGTTTGTATGTGTGCCTGTGAAGATGCACTGTGCTGTGGTCAGAGTGCACAAGAGCATCTCAGAAGTCAGCTCTCTCCTTCCACCAAGTACCACCTTAGGTTGTCAGGCCTACACAACTGTCACTGAATCATTTTGCTGTCTCCATCACTCCCCCCCACCCCTTTTCTTAGTAAATTATAAGCAGAGTTAGGCATTTTCTTGTTACAGTTAGTGAAACTGATACATTTATAGACTTGTTATGTTACTAGAAATTGTATCATGCTTTCAACAATCAAATGTGCATAGAAATAACTTGGGGCTAGGGATGTAGCTTCATGGTATGATGCTTGACTAGCATAGATGAAGGCTCTGAGTTTAACACTCATCTCTGAAAATGAAATCAAAACAAAAGAAGCCTATGCACAAAAAGTTTAAGCTAAAATTAAGAAGTAGATTAGTCAAATGCTAGGAAAGTCCCAGTGGTAGAGATGATTCTAAGAATCCTACTTCAATGTTCCCTTGTCCTTACCCTCACCCACTCAACTCAGCTTCCTGAGTGCTGAGTGGATTATATAGCTCACTGTCTGAAACTGATAACCATGTTAAGTGCAAAACAGAATACAACCTTGTGAAGAAATAAATTTTTTTTTCACTGAGTATGCAGGCAAAAAATAAAGAACAGAGTTTTAAAGTTAAAAAGTTTTAGAAAAATTACTCCTTGGTGACTAGTCTTTTTGACCAAACTAACACTTCTTTAATTCATATTCTTAAAATATTTTGGTAAGAACCTTCAGGTGGGTTTTGTATAGATAAGATACAATACAGGTATTGATTATTAAAGATCTGTACAGGCACATTTCTAAATTAAAATTTGTTTTGGCATAAAATAGCCTAGTTAAAACATAGTTTTGTTGTGATGGAAGCTCTTGAGACCAGAGAGGAATGAGAACTAAGAGAATGTGTGAGAAGCATGCCTGACAGTTTTTTGAGGTGTCAGGAAGTGGTAATATTGCTGAGGCATTTCCAGGAAAGGTTGGGCTAGATTTAGATACCTTCAATCAATCCCTTGTGTGCTGAATTTCCTTTAAAAGTTTGTTTTAGCAAGTTCTCTTTCTTAAAACTCTACCACTTGGAGGTACATTTGGATTTAACAAAAAGAATATCTTCCCCCTTTTTAGAGCAATGGCTCTTAACCATCCTAATGCTGCAAACCTTTACTACCCCAACTATAGAATTATTTCATTGTTACTTCATAACTGTAATATTGCTACTGTTGTGAATATTTACTGTTGTAAATATATGATAAGTTATCCCCAAAGGAGTCATGACCCTCAGGTTGAGAGCCACTTTTTTAGAGTCTCCCCCCCCCCAACCCTTTCTTGTATCTACTTTGAGATCATATTGGTATTAAGGCAGGCAGACATTCTGGATGGGTTGGAATAGAATACTTCAGATTTTATAGTATAAAGTAGAGGAGGAGGAAGAATAAGGAAATCATTGATATCTTACAAATATTTGAATGGCAGGTATTGTGCTTGGTTTGGGAGATGAACATGGGAACCTTGGTCTTTACATTGCTGATCTTACTGTTTGGTTGGGAAGGTTGGCAAATGTGACTAACATTAAGATAAGAAAAGAGCAGATACTCTGTAAGCTACAGTATGGAGCATTGTCCAGTTAAGGAGTTTGCTTAGAAACTTGACATTCTGTGACCTTGAAGCATCTCCATGTTATTGTGTGCTCTTGGCTAATCCCATGATACTTCTGATAGGAGATGTTGGCTGCTAGTAGTAGGTATTTTCTTTAATTAAGCCTGTGTGTTTGTTTGAGGCATAGTTCAACAATAATATTAAGGACTAGCTGATTATTATTACAATATAGGCAACACAGCTAAGAGACTAGAAGAGTTTGATGTTTTATCTACCCAAATGTGAAAAATTTTGGTTAAATGGATTTGACAAGTTGGAGGAAATTAGGGGTTCCTACAAAGGGTGTGTTATGTGTGCATGAAATCCAGAGCTTAACTTTTAATTTTTGTAAATCAACTTTGTGTACTACATTTAGATTTTAAAAGTCATTCATATATTGCACTAAATATACTCCCATCTTTAGACTTGATATTTGAAATCAGAATGAATTTTTAGGAGTTAAGTTTAGTAAGGAAAAATAATTTTAAATACCATTAGATGATCTGTTTACACAATACTGAATCATCTTTTCTTAAAGGTAGGTGATATTATAGACATCTTACATCCTGAGAGATTAGTATGTTCAGGGTTATACAGTTACAACTTGAATCTTGTTCTCATTTCAGAAGGCACTTAGGTTTGCCTTTAGTAACTTGCAGCTTTTTACTATGCATTCCCCATTTTTCCATTAGGTTGTTCATACTAAAATGATTGGACAGTGAGCTTTAGAACTCAGCCATGCCTTATTTGGTGAGACATTGGGAAGAAGTTACTTTTCTAAGTCCATGCTTTTATTTATTTATTTGTTTGTTTGTTTGTTTAGTTAGTTAGTTTTGTTTTTTAACTCCAGAAAATGGTAATGGTGGTAATACTCCTCTCTTGTAGTAGTGAAGTTTGTTTTCTTTTAATGATTTATTTATTTATTTATTTATTTAAAGACAGAACCTCACTATGTAGCTACACTTGCTCTGGAACTCCATATTTAGACCAGGCTGCCCTCAAACAGAGATTTATCTGTTTCTGCCTCCCGAGTGCTGGGATTTAAAGACCTGTGCCATCATGCTTAGCAATATTTCTTTTGTGTGTGTGTGCCTGGTGCCTGGGAGTCCAGAAAAGTGTGTTGGGTCCCCTAGAATAGACAGTCGTGAACCAGTGTGTGGGGGCTGAGAACCAAACCCAGGCCCTCTGTAAGATCTGCAAGTATGCTTAACCCCTAAAGGAGCTCTGCAGCTCCTGTTGTGAAAATATTAGAGGGGAATTTAATATACTGCCACAATCTTTGGTTTTTAAAAAGTTTTAAGTAAGTGTTAGTGAGTGTTATTTTCAGGTGCTCACTACTTTTTTCAGTCCTGTGGCTACTCAGTGTCTCTAATTGAGATATTGTCATGGAGGCTTGCCTCCTTTGGGGCTTAGTTCTTAATATCCCTTTTCCTTTTTTCACTCCATATAAACTCAGTCTCTGCTTTTTTTCACTATATCAATTTTCTCAGGTCATCTCATGTCCTCAAGTGTTATTTATAATTTTATTCTCTCTCTCCCCGTGTGTGTGTGTGTGTGTGTGTGTGTGTGTGTGTGTGTGTGTGTGTATCTGTCTGTCTGTCTCTGTATGTGCATCTGTCTGTCTGTCTCTGTATGTGCATGTGCTTGTAGAAGCCAGAACAGAATCCTGGGTGAATTTCATCAGTGCACTCTTAAGTTTTGAGATAGTGTCTCTCACTGACCCTGTAGCTTGCTGATTTGCCTTTGCTCACCTTTCCTCACAGTCTCCTTTCTCTCCCCAAATAGTCTTTCGCTTTCATGTCACATGTCATATGTATTCCAATAGGGTATTGTTTCCATCTTCCCCTTTAGGACTTTATTACTATACTGTGATTAATCTTGAGACTATATTGTTTATTATGAGTGGCTTCTTTATTCATGCCTTCATATACAGACTCAGTGCTTGAATTAAATAATCTAAATAAAAAATTGAGCTTGCATATTATGTTCTTTTGTAGTGAGGATGAGGATGATGACCTTCAATATGCTGATCATGATTATGAAGTACCTCAACAAAAAGGACTGAAAAAACTCTGGAACAGAGTAAAATGGACAAGAGATGAGGTAGATATGGGCAAAATCTACTAGTATCATATTTATCAATTAATACTATTATAGTTATGAATGGCATTATAATGAAAACTGTGTGCGGACAAATTATTATATGCTTACTTGTACATTCTTTAAAAAAAAAAGAAAAGGATGACATTGCCAGGCAGTGGTGATGCAGGGAGGCAGAGGCAGGCCGCTCTCTGCGTTCAAGGCCAGCCTGGTCTGCATTTGAGTTCCAGGACAGCCAGGGCTACACAGAGAAACCCTGTATCAAAAAATGAAACAACACAAAACAACAAAAAACCACTCAATAGCCAATGACACAAACAATTGGTTGTTTAGAATTTACTGAGACAGTATAGTAAATGGAGGAATTTGGGTAACAGTGACTTTAGTCCTTCTCAAAGTGAGTACCAAACATGAGAGCTTGAGAATGTCATTTACATACCAGAAGTGGCGAAAGAGTTTTAATTTTTATGCCTCTCTTAATAGGATGACAAGTTAAAGAAGTTGGTTGAACAACATGGAACCGATGATTGGACTCTAATTGCGAGTCATCTTCAAGTAAGTGAGATGTGATAACATGACTCATTTAAGGCATCAGTGTACATATTCTACTTTTTCAGAAATGTGTTTGTATGATTTAGGCTTCATTCCTTAAAACATTTGGTTAATTTTTTTTCTGGTATAGTTGTAGTTGTTGCTAATGGTTTCGAAAGTATTTTCTAGTACAGTTTGTGTACCTCAGATCCTGAAATCTGAAGTGCTTCAGAATTCACAAGTGTTTTGAGTACTGACATAGAATGTTTTACATGTGATTTAATGTAATATGTCACAGTAAAAATGACAGGTGTACTTAAGTTGTCTAAAATTATTATGTGTATAAATGAGTTTCATCTGTAGACTTTTGTCCTATCTCCAAGATATATCATTTTATATATGTAAATGTTTGAAAATTTTAAAAACCCTGAAATCTGAACTTTTTAGTCTCAAGAATTTTGGATAAAGCATACTCAACCTGGACACTGTACAGCATTTATCCAGGGCCTAAAAAGACTTACTACTATAAAACAAAAATGCAATTAGATTTGTATCGGACTTCACAAATATTTGTGGGTGTTTTTTTTTTTTTTATGTTGGGAATTGAACCTAAGGCCTTGTACATTTAGGCAAGCACTTTACCACTAATCTACATCCTCAACTGTTACATATGTTAAAATATTTTGAAAGGATTTTATTATTAAGACATTTGACAGCTAACCAATAAAATAAAGAAAATTGTTAGGTTTATAATCTAATGAATGTTTTAAAGTATTTTTTATTAATTTTTTTTGAGATGGGAGTGTCACTGTGTATTCCTAGCTATCTTGGGACTCACTATATAAATCAGGCTGACCCCAGACTCATAGATACCTGCTTGCCTCTTTCTCCTGAGTGATGGGATTTAAGGTGTGCAGTTCCATCATACTTGGTTATTTCTGTATTTTTTTAAATTACGTTTGTTCATCATACCAATATTCACATATCTATTGGCGTATAATTTTATAAAATATGGAAGTAGTTTTGCCATGTACTCATTTGTTTCTTAGAGCATTGTGAATAGTTAAGTTACCTGTATTTTAAACTTTAGTGTTGATTACTTTGGTTTTAGAAACAATGTTACCTGTGTTTTTTCCATATTATCATAATATCTCTCAGTGTAACCTGGAAACTGAGATAATGGAGGGAGAAAACAGATTGTGGAGTTAGTTGAAATTGTATTCAAATGTCAGCTGTGTTAATTTAGAAAAATTACTTAACCTCTTTGACTAATTTGCATCCTGGGAGACATTTATTCAATAATAAAAACATCCAAATTCTTTCAGAATCGTTCTGATTTTCAATGCCAACATCGATGGCAGAAGGTTTTAAATCCAGAATTGATAAAGGGTCCTTGGACTAAAGAAGAAGACCAGAGGGTAACATGTTCTTTTGAAAAAAAGATTAAGTCTTTATGTATTTGTGTGTATGTGTTTGGATACATGGATGTGCATACATGCTCATGCCACCGCACATATGTGGGGTCAAAGGATAATTTGTGGGATATAGTTCTCTCCTTCCACCCACCATTTGGGTCTTCAGGGATCAAACTCAGGTCATCAGGCTTAATGACAAGTGTCATTGAGCCATTCACTTGCCCCATATTCATAGTCTTTATGCTCGCTATGTATGTAAAATAGGTTAACTAGATTACTTGTTACTGGTTAGATTTATTTTTATTTATTTACTGTTTGTTTGTTTTTCAAGACAGGGTTTCTCTGTGTAGCCCTGGATGTCCTGGAACTCACTCTGTAGACCAGGCTCTGCCTCCTGAGTGCTAGGATTAAAGGTGTGCACTACCACTGCCCAGCTAGATTTATTTTGTTAACATGTTGTAACACATAAAGTGTGATTATGTGTGTATGTATTTAGTGTATATGTATGCTAGGGTTGGAGGTGGGCATACATGTGTATGTACATACATGTGGAGACCCCAGGGCTGCATTGGGTGGGGTACTCCTTAATGGCATCAGTATTTTTTATGAAATAGGGTCTTTCGTTGTCCTTAAGCTTACCAACTAGGGGTAGATTGGTGGGTCTGCCCTTCTGCTCACTGTTACTGAGATTGCAAGTTCATGCCACTATGCTCAGCTTTTTTTTAATGTAGTTTCTGGTCTTCGTGGTTGCAAGGAAAGTACTTTAATAACAAGTATCTTCCCAGTTTATACTTTAAGTTACTTGGTACTGTTTCTTTGGAGGCTGTATGCATAAGAATTGGATGCTGAATGCCTTAAAATGTAGCTCCCCTCCCTACCCCCACCAGGGCAGAATTTGGACCCTCATATAATAAATACAGTCCTTTTTGAGGGCTTCATTTATAAAAGGAAGAATGCTTCATTTAAAGTTTGGTTGAATGACATTTAAGGCAGTTTCCAGTGAAATTTTAATTGACATTGAAAATGGATTTTAATTTTATTTTCACTCATAATAACTTGATATATAAGGAAATTGTTCTTAATTTTTATTCTTGACCTTAATGAACCCAGGGTTAGATAAATTTCAGAACATCGTGTATCCCATGTGTTTATAACCAAAAATCCAATTACTTGTGCAATAACACCTGTTGAAGAATAGAAGCATCTGCCTTTCACCAGGAATTGCTCTTAATTTAAGCCCTGTAAAGCTTGCCCATTGCTAATAAACTTGGGGATTGAGAGCAAACAAAGTCACTTCATTAGGCTCAGGACTGATCTGATTTTTCTTAATGGCCAATGGTAAGTTTTGAAATGTATGATGTGGGGCTGGTGAGATGGCTCAACTGGCAAAAGCTCTTGTGGTTTGCTGTGCATGCTTGACAACTCCTGTTCAATTCCTGAATTCAAAGTGGAAGGAGAGAGCTGCTTCCTGAAAGTTGTCCTCTGACTTGGTTTGTATATGCCCTCTACTCATACCTACACATCATAAACATGCACATAATAATAAATAAAAATGAGTAAATAAAATACAATGTGTAATCTTTTAAAAAGATAATTATTAGCTGGACCTGGTGGCATTGGCTATAATTCTAGTTACTCAGTAGGTCTAGATAGATCATTGCAAGTCCAAGGCCTACCTGTGCAACTTAATGAGACCCTGTTGATAAGAATAAAAGGTAGATTAGTGAATCTACTTCTAAAAAGCAGCTACTACTTTTAAATATTTTACACTGGATTGAACTTTTGTATACTGTATACAAACATTGTGTATTGATACAGATTTGAAATTAATTGGTTAAAACATACTGTACATACATTTCTAATATTGTTCAAGATATTGTACCTATACAGCTCATTTAACAATGTAATGCAAACTTCTACTCCTTGAAAGTTATCAATTATATTGGATAATAAGGAAATGCAAGTTAGTAATTAATCAACTATTGTAATCAAACTTGTAGTCACATTAAGTATGTTTACATGGTGAAACAGATATATTTTAGACAATCCATCTTCAAACACTTCAGAGATCTACAGAATGTGGCATTTAAAATATTTTAATAGCATAGGCTCTTTTTTTTCTTTAATGACAATGAGACATGTTTGCTCTAATCTACTTCAGAGAAGATGATGGGCATCAAAGAAACTCCACATGGAGTTTACTTTTTTTTGTGGCTGTGGTAAGCCACTGTGCAAGAAAGTGCCCTTGCCTCAACTGCTGACAGTTTGCTGTCCAAATTGGACAAGCAGGACACCAAAAAGCGTGACTGCAAACCTTCAAAAATCCTGCTTCATAGAAAAGTCTGTCAGATAATGCTAGGCCTGTAGACCAAAGATGAATCTCCCAACATTGCAGAAGAACATTGAGTGACTGTCCAGGCAGCCAGCTCTTTTTGTCATTTCTCACATTTTTGGAAGTTACTTGCTCGCACTTCCTGTTTACTCAGTTAATATTATTTTCTTCTCGGATCTCTGAGGTAGTTGAAGACTAGACAGTACAGTTATAGTTTTCATTATTTACCAGATTCAGAGAAAACTCACTAAAGATGTGTAAAGTGTAAAAGGCTGAGAGACATTAAAAGATAATTTGATAATGCAAATTAGACTAGAAAGTAAATTAAGTACAAGACTTTGGACTCACTAAGATGCAATAGATAATGGAGTATTTTCTCTGAATTTGTCAAATGCAAATGGACTTGACATTGTTGATGAACTTATTGCCTGTATATATTGTATGTACTTATTGTACATAGATTTTCTTATGTTAGTTATAGCCTTCTTTTTGTATTAGACAAAAAAGAGGAGTTGTGGTGACATAATTATTTATGGTTTAATAAAGATTGCATGAAATACCAGAAAGTAAAGCCAGCCACATTAGATAGCTGTAGAAGTCAGGCAATGGTGGTATCCCAGGACTCAGGATACAGAGGTAGATGGAGCTCTATATGAGCTCAATGCCACCCAGATCTACACAAGATTGAATCAGTCTGAAAGAGAATTAGAGCTCATGGCTTTAATCCCAGCCCTAGAGAGTTATATAAAAGAAAGAGCCCAGTGTCTCAGGTGGCACTCTGAGATTTAGTCTCCAGCCATGCTGAGGAGAGGCAGCAGTCTGAGGCGTGGTGGAGAGCTCATGGAAACAGGATCAGCCCTTTCAGTCTGAGGTAGAGGTAAGGGCTAGTGGCTGGGGCTTTGCTTATCTGACCCTCAGCTTTGAACCTAATATCTGTGTCTGGGTCTTTTATTTTTCATGTTATACCCTGTCAAAGTAGAAAGTAAGAAAAGGACTGGGAATATAGCTCAGCAATAGAACCCTTGTTAAACATACCTAGTACTGGGAAAACAGCCACAAACATAATAACTGCACATGTGGTCGTTAAGCCTTATTTGCAAAACATGACAAGCAGATACCTATCATGAAAATATTGATATATGTTAAATAATCCACCAATATAGGATGATTATGATGTGATATTTAACAGTGGGTCAGAGTAGCAGTGGAGTAAGGCAGGCTGAGGAGATAAACTGTTATTCTAATTTTAGGTAAACTAAAAACAAATTTAAAATGTACAAGTTGTAATTTTTTCAGTTTGATAAAGGAGGAAATGAAAGCCAGTAATTATAAATCTTTTCTGCTTCCTAATGGACTTAGTTGGCTTTTTGTTGAAGCTTATTTTTTTTCTCTCTCTCTCTCTTTAAAGATGTAAAAGTAGGAAAGACAAACCTTGATTTTTTTTTTTTTTTTTTTTTTTTTTTTTTGTTGTTTTCGTTTTTCAACAGGGTTTCACTGTGTAGCTTTGGAGCCTGTCCTGGAACTCACTCTGTAGATCAGGCTGGCCTCAAACTCACTGATGTCCACCTGCCTCTGCCTCTAGAGTGCTGGGATTAAAGGCGTGCACCACTATTGCCTGGTTAATTTTGAATTAATTAGCCCGTTGAACTTTTTGACTCATTGGGAATTGATTTTTGAACTTGCTGTAGCTGAAGGATTAGCTATTATTAAAATTACTTTTTGTGAATTATATTTATAGCTGAAATTTAATGTATTTATTTTATAATTTGGAGTTTTTCCCTTTTTGTTGTTGTTGCTGAGATGCTTTAGATCAAACCCAGGGCCTTGTGCACACTCAGCAAATGCTCTGTAACTACTCCAGCCTTGACATGCTTGAACTACATTTTCCTATTCTCTTATGGTAATGGTTTTTCAACCTTTGTTTTTGCTTCTTAGGTTATTGAATTAGTTCAGAAATATGGACCAAAAAGGTGGTCTTTAATCGCAAAACATTTAAAAGGAAGAATAGGCAAGCAGTGCAGAGAAAGATGGCATAATCACTTGAATCCTGAAGTAAAGAAATCTTCTTGGACAGAAGAAGAAGACAGGATCATATATGAAGCACATAAGCGGCTGGGAAACCGTTGGGCAGAAATTGCTAAATTGCTTCCTGGAAGGTGCTTACATAGATGAATATACACTGTTTTTCTGCACTTCAACACATTCTTTACTACCTTACTATTGAATATATTTTCAAGTACCCCCTTCCTTTTATTTATAATTCAAATTTAGACTGCATAATATAAACAACTATTTGGGACCATTTGTAATAAATTCTGTGGTAAGGAATATGATTAATTTGTGCAATAAAATGCTCAGACCTTTAAGTTATGTAAACAACATTTAATTTACTCTAGAAATCATATTTCCATATCATTGCCAGTCAGGCAGAGCCTGTACGAGTTGGTAAAGTGAAATCTAGATTAGAGATCTCCTTCACATTAGTTACTGTGCACCAAACTAGGGGATTGTAAATACACTGAAGTAAATGATGGTGAAAGTATGTTAAGGAAACTCAGTTCTTAATTATGGATTTTAAGTTGTGAAAGTAGTACTTCAGTCCATGCAACTGCAATACAGGGTTTCCCTAAGAGGTGTGATATGCTAAGTTCAGTCTTCACTGTACTGCTCAGATACTTTCTGGCAGTCGCTAGCTGGTGCAGCAGGCCAACTCTACCTTGGGCAACTTCATATCTCACTTAGAATATACATGTTTATGCTCTATAGCTGTAATCTCTATGTAGTACTTCATAGTAACTAATGTGCTTTTGTATGTATTCCTTCTTAATCTTTGTATACTTATATGTAAATGGAAACATTAATGTCTTTGTTTCATAGGAAATTAAGACACAGTATTACATTCTCTTTTATCCAAGTTACTAACTCTGGGCTGTGAACTTCTGATATAGTCAGTATTTTATGCACCTTTTTCTTTGTGTAGAACCTGCCTTAGTGCTTTAGCAGGGTAGGTTTCTAGTAGGTTTCTAGTAAGGTTTCTATTTTATGCAGAATGGAACTTATGCTACAGATAGCTCTAGGCTCATCTTTATAAAAAGGACCTTGGATAAAAAGGGAGTTGATGAACTCATTTTCTATAAATATAATATTCTAAGAAATGGTAAAGAATACTTGAAATTTGTAATTTGTATTTTTCTTTCCTTTTTATTTTTTTATTTTTTTATGGAAATGAGCATGAGCCCAGGACCTCATTTATGATAGACTGCTAGACAAGCTCTTTACCCCTGAACTCTACATATTTTTTGGTATTCCCCCCCCCCCCTTTTCCTGGTGTGAGGCTTTCGTACTGGGTATGTCTTTTATCAGGAGGTTTTTTCTTCTGCTTTTGTTTTTGAGCAGATTCTTGCTGCCTTGTCCAGACTAGCCTTGAGTTCCTACCCTGCTACCTCAGCCTCCCAAGCACTGAAGCTGCAGGCTGATGGCCCTGTGCCTGATGATTCCCACTCTTGTACTGCCAGTGCCAGCTCAGCCTCAAATTTCAAAGCTCAGCTTCACCGACGTCTCACCACGGGTCTGTCCTGGGCCCCTCACCAAAATTACCCCCACTTAATCACTGCTCGTCCTAGTTTAGTTATCCACACTGCAGTGGTGATTTTCCTAGTTATTTCTTTGTCTTACCTGTTGCCATGCTTTCAGTAAGAATTTAGGCTCTGTCACCCAGGGAACTGCTAGATAATTTCACCAGTTGCAAAAATTGTGTTTTATGTATTTTGTGAAAGTTAGACAGTGCTAAAATTTGTGGAATCCCTTTTCTTTTTAAAATGATATACTTTTATTTCTTAGGACTGATAATTCTATCAAAAATCACTGGAATTCTACGATGCGAAGAAAAGTAGAGCAGGAGGGCTACTTACAAGATGGAATAAAGTCAGAGCGGTCTTCATCAAAACTTCAGCATAAACCTTGTGCGGCTATGGACCATTTGCAAACCCAGAATCAGTTTTACATACCTGTTCAGGCACATATTTTTAATATCTTTACTATTTAAAAGCAATTTCTTTAGTTGCTCTATGGGAACGCTTCTTGTTTTTTTTTTTTTTTTAGGACAAGTAAAATTTGTATTGGGCGGTGGCATAGACATTTAAGTTTTTAACTGAAAAAGTAAACCATAAACTTAACAAATATTTCAGTACAAATTTCATTTAAAATTTCCTTTTATATGTGATTTTCACAAAAAGAAATATAGTATGTGCTGCCAGGTGGTGGTGGCTCACGTCTTTAATCCTAGCACTCTCAGGAGGTAGAGGTAGGAGGATCTCTGTGAGTTTGAGACCAGCCTGGTCAAAAGAGCTTGTTCCTGGATAGCCTCCAAAGCCATAGAGAAACCCTGTCTTGAAAAATAAAAACAAAACAAAACAAAAATGTATGTGTATAGAGCAGTACTCTCTGATTCTTTATAGTTTTGGTCAGATATGCTTTAACATCTGATGTAATTTCTCCTCAAAGATTGCTCTGTTTAATTGTAATATTGCCTGTCTTACAGGTGTGTATAGAACAGTTTAAAGGAGAAATAGTAAGACATCATTTAAACATACCTTTGGGGAACAGTAAACGGTTGATCTTTAATCTTGTTGCACTTTGCTCTTTGTGTGATTTTAGCCTTCCTTCAGACAAATTCATTAGAGGTTACCCAAGTTCAAACTGTAAGAAATTTGTTTAGGAGTCTTCATAAGACTTGCTTTTTTTTTTTTTTCCTGGGTGCCTGTCCCTTACATGTTTATGATAAGCAATTCTTAGTTCTTTTCACATAAAATATTAAGACTGTTAGGACCAAGTAGCATCTCACAAAAAATAAAATTGGCACAGAGTTAAAAAGGTTGCTTCTGAGCCTCGGGTTTTATTTCATGTTGCTTTTTATGGGCGTCACTAAGTTTTGTTAGACATACTTTTTTTTTTTAAACTTTTTTATTGGATCTTTGGGGGTTTTACATTATGTACCCCAGTTCTGTTCTCTTCCCAGTCCCCCATATTCCCATCTCATCTTTATAGTATCTCCTCCCCATGAAAGAAAACAAAACAAAGTAAGCAAGCAAACAAAAGCAAGAACAGGAAAAAAATAACCCATTAAACCTAAATAACAACAGAAACCACACTTGCAACTGCAAAATCTGTGCTTTCCCTTCTCCTTCTCCCCAGCCTCTCCATCACCTCTGCATCCTGACGGCTTAGTTTATGAATAGGGAGGTGGGGCAGTAGTGGTTACCGTTGACACCTGACCTTAAGGGTTATAATATTTTGTTTTTCTTCAGAGTCCTAGATTTCAATAGCACAAACTACAAGGTTCTGCTTCTGTCTTAGAAAAATTACCAACGTTTTTTGACTTATAGAAAGATAATATTAAAAATAATTGTTGCTAAGGGATTGTTTGACAATCAAAATATGTTGGAAAATAAGTTTTTTTCTAATATTTTAAGAGTTGCTTCTGATTTAATAATTTAGGAAGCTTTATACATTTCAAATTTAAACAATCAAGATATTTATAATTTTTCTTAAGAAATATGACATGAAGAAAAATACATTGTTTTAAAATACTGTGGTATATTTTTATTGAAAAGTTTGAGAAAAATAAGTTTCTAATTTATTGGAGTTACCAAGTTGAGCGATATGTGATTCTAATTGAGTATTATCAAAGTTAAGTTCTAGATTAGAGCTAGATGTAATGATTTTGCATTAGATAATGATTTAGGTAGATCGTTATAGACACATTATATATATTTATTTGTATTTGATTACTAGAGTTTTTACAAACATATTTTACTAGTGCTCACTAAATTCTAATATAGTTGTACAAATCTTTTAGAAAGGAGGCAGATGATACTTAGTATATTGTCAGAGTGTCTGTTAAGAATACATGAGTGATTATGATTGTTTTTTATATGGGTAACAGAAAAAGCTCTATTTTTTTTTTTAAACTTAGAGTGATAGGAGTAGGAATACAATTTAGGTAGTAGGGCAACCCTTAAAAGCTGACTTTCACAAATATAATAGGTAGGTGATGTTGGTAACAGACTGACTGACTGATATAACTAGGCTTAGAAGCCAGGTGTGGTGACATACCTGTAATTTTAGTTCTGGGGATGTTGAGGCAGGAGGATCAAAAGTGTGAAACCAGCCCCAGCCACATAGTTAACTCCAGGCTGCTTGGGCTACATAATAAAACTCTGTCTCACAAACCAAAAGACAAAATACAAATCTAAAATACAGACTTTCCCCCTACACTTACGGTTTTATCAGTATATTCTAGGATCAGGGCGATATAATAATTAAGTAAAAACTACTGTAGTTTGAATTTTCAGAGTTATTAGACAATGTCCAATGTCCAGTGTTTTTTTTATTTGCTTGTTTGTGTTTTTTTTTTTTGGGGGGGGGCGTTGCTTGCTTGCTTGTTTGCTTTTGTTTGATTTTTTTAGAGACAGACTCTCACCATCTAGCCTTAAGATCTTACATAGATCTGTCTGCTTCTGCCTCCTGAATGCTTGCCACTCTGCTCAGTGTTCTACTTTTTAATGTTGACATTTTATCATAATCTTTCTTGGCATCAAATTTTTAAAAATTGTACAACCTATAATAGCAATGCTTTACTTACTCTTTAGATCCCTGGTTATCAGTATGTATCACCTGATGGCAATTGTGTTGAACATGTTCAGACATCTGCCTTTATTCAGGTAAGTTTTATTTGTAACAAAAATACAAAGAAAGATAGTCATCATTGCTTACCTGTAATCTCATTAGGAAGGATTACCACAGTTTAAGACAAGCAGAGATACATAGCAAGTATCAAGTCCATCAGGGGTACAGAATAAAGCCCGTCTCAAAAAGCAAAAACAACAAAAATCAAAAATGAAAACAAGAATAGAGGAAGCCTGGTGATATGTGCAGACCTGTGATCCCAGCACTTGCAGTTTTAGAAGTTTAGTACTCATTTCCTTATGTATTAAACTAGGATAAAGAACATTGTTGGGGTTTTTTGTTCTGTTTTTTACTTTGAGTATTATAAAAACTAAAGAGAAATGTGTAAGTGGATTTGAAAATATAAACCATAAAAGTATGAGGTGATTAGCAGCACCGGTGTGGTAACTTGCTCAGTCTTGTAGCTTAAATCTTTCAAACAATTGCTGAATTATATAAAATACATTACAATGTAATTGTCTAAAATATTCCAGATGTACATTTTTGATACATAGTTAATGCAATGTTTTTTAGTTAGTTAGTTAGGTTTTTTTTTTTTTTTTTTTTTTTTTTTTTTGTTTTTTTTTTTTTTTTTTTGCTATTGTTCATTTGTTTTTCTAACAGTATCATGTTGATGAGACTGTCTTTGAACTTGATACATTCCCAAGAATGCTCTTGAACTTGTAGCCCTCCTATCTGCAACCTTCTTAGTGCTGGGATTGCAGGTGTGGCTACCATGCATGATTTTAGGTGGTGCTGGAGATACAGCCCAGGACTTCTTCACAGTAGGCAAATTACTAATTGAACTGTATCATTACTCCTGTTTCTTGTCTTGTTGTTTTGCTTTGTTGAGATAGGGTGTTACCATGTAGCCTGTGATAGCTTTAAACTTGAAACCCTTTGTTCCTGTTTCTAGAGTGGGCAATCACAGGTGTGCTCTACCATGCCTGAAATAATATGTGTTTATTTTTTTGTGCATTTAAATTTTTCCATTTTTTTTGCAAAGTTGAAAATATTCACCACGTAGCTTTTTAAATTCCAGAGATACTGTGATACATTGATTTAGTAGCATTAAAATGCTAGTAGCATTTGGATTTAATACCATTAAGCTTTATTATAGGTTACATAGAAGAAAATAAAAAGGAATACACTGTTTTAAAGCAATTGTGATGGTGCCTGTTTTTTTTTTTTTCTTTTATTTAACTTATTTTAGCAACCCTTTGTTGATGAAGACCCTGATAAGGAAAAAAAAATAAAGGAACTTGAGTTGCTTCTTATGTCAGCTGAGAATGAAGTTAGAAGAAAGAGGCTCCCATCTGTAAGAAATGAGCGTATATGTTTGTATTTGATTATTGGTCCTTTCTATGAACTCTTTTTTTCTTGTTTATTCCAAACACAGTTCTCCATCCACCCCTCCTCCCATTCCTCCCTCCCTTCCCCCTTAGTGCCTCCCTCCCCCGCTCCAATCTATTCCTCCTAAAGGGTAAGGCCTCACATTGGGAGTCAGCAAAGTCTGGCACAGTAAGTTGAGGCAGAACCAAGCCCCTCCCCCCTGCATCAAGGCTGAGCATGGCATCCTCCCCTCCCCCCCCAGTAGGGCCTGGGCCCCAGAAAGCCAGGTCATACACCAAGGATAGATCCTGGTTCCACTGTCAGGGGCCCCTCAGATAGACCAATATGTAAAGGACCTAGCTTGGTCATATGAATTCTTTTATACTTTTCCTTAGTTGTAGAGTATTTTCAGTGCGACTTTCACATTTTACTATAAATACTTTTTTTTCACATTTTAATTTGCAATTTTGGGGTTGCTTATGATTTACATCTTTTCCAGCATGTTTTACAGTATTCTGTATTAGGATACTTAAAAATATGTTTTTTAAATCATAAATATTAAAGACAGAGTATGATCTTTGATATATTTATTTTTTGTGTATGTATTTATTATATTAGGCTTTTAAAAACTTGACATTCCATGTAATGATGGATTAAATTGAAAAAACTTATAAAATGAGAAATGTAATAAGAGGGATTTATAAGCTCTGAAATTATTTTCTTTGGAAAAAATTCTGTTTTAATCTATTTAGGATACTAATTCAATAAATTGTAAAAAGTAATAACAGGCTGGGCGGTGGTGGCTCACACCTTTAAGGCAGAGGCAGAGGCAGAGGCAGAGGCAGGTAGATCTCAGAGAGTTCTAGGCCAGATTGGTTTACAGAGTGAGTTAGTTCCAGGACATCCAGAGCTACACAGAGAAATCTTGTCTCAAAAAACAAAACAAAACAAGATAATAATAATAATAATAATAATAACAATAACAGAAGGAAACATTTAGATTTTATATTTTCTAACTCTTTCAAAAGAAGGTTGATGTGGATATCTTTGATTTGGTTAGAATAATTAAGTATTAAATTCATATCAATGATATAAATTCTAGTAGCATTAAATAGGTCATGCTAAATGGATTAGAAAAAAAGACATTTATGCTTAGATGAGAATTTTATACATTTAAAGTTATATCTGGCATATTTTTATATTTCGAGAAGAGTTTTCCCAGACTGGGCCTACAGTTTAGTGGTGGAACATTTGTCTAACACGCATGAGATCTGGGTTCAGTCTCAGCACTGAAAAGAGATGCTTTTCCTCTCCTTGATTTCAGACTGAGAGGAAACTCAGCATCACTCTGATAGAATAAACTGATATGCTCAACTAGTATCATGAAATAAGTGATATTGTCTTACAGTATTTAAGAGGGTATTAAAATAACATGTTATTAATTATTGTAGGTGAGATTTTTACTGAAGGAAAGGCTATTTGAAACTATAAACCATCAGTAAATAGGAAGACTAGAAGTATGCTTATTTTAGTTCATTTTAGTTTTGCCAAAGAAGTGGCAAACAGTGACACTTAGAGTCCTTGTTTGCAGATTACTATGTCATGTTTGGATGACATGTTTGGATGGGATGTTGCTCAGTGGTAGGAGCCTGTCCCTATGTTTAAGGCCTTCAGCTTTGTTCCTGTGCTTCTAAACTAAAACTAAGACCAAACAATTATGAAAAATTTCAAGTACTTTTAGATTACATTTTTAATTTTTCCATTTTATTTTATGTGTATACATGTGTTTTGCATATGTATATATCTGTGTACCATGTACATGAAGCCTGAGGAGGGCAGCAGAATAAGTTGTCAGATCCCCTACAACTGGGGTGTTACAAATGGTTATGCCCTGCCGTGTGGGTGATAGGAATCAAACTCAGATCCTTTGGAAGAGTAGCCAGTGTTCTTAACTGCTGAGCCATCCCTCCAGTCTTTCTTATTATTTATTTATTTATTTATTTATTTATTTATTTATTTATTTATTTCCTTATTTCTTTTGGAGACAGGGTTTCTCTGTGTAGCCCTGTGTCCTGGAACTTGCTCTGTAGACCAGGCTGGCCTTGAACTCAGAGTTCCACCTGCCTCTGTCTCCTGAGTGCTGAGATTAAAGGTGTGGGCCTCTAAATTAGTAACAGTACCTTAGTGTGGTGATAAATTGTTTATGATCTAATAAAGCCGCTGAAGATCAGAAAAGCAAAGCAGTCAGCCACTAGCTTTTATTCCTACCTAAGACCAAAATGGGTGATCCTGTCTCCACTAATCCTCAGAGGCAAATGTTCTCCCTGTCTGGAAACTAAATCTCACATGAGATCCATGTAGTATTCCTTTTATACCTCCCTAGTGCTGGGTGTGAGCTCTGTTATTCTTTTTGGCTGATTCACTCTTGTGTGGTGAAGAGTGGCCTTGAACTCACTGAGGTCTGGGATTAAAGGTGTATGCCACCACCTCCTGGCTTCTGTGGTTAACTAGTATGATTGCTGGAATTAAAGGTGTATATCACCACTGCCTGGCTCTGTGGCTTTGCATTTTGATCTCCAGGCAAGCTTTATTAAATCATAGACTATATATCAACACATCTTAGCTCAGGATGCAGAATGCAGTATACCTGTCTCATTTAATAAGAAAAATATATTAGCTAAAGTAATTCATATTTCATATTTCATATTAAAGGGAGAAAATTACTTCTTTTTAAAACTTTGTTAGATTTCATACACTTTTTTTTTAGCAGTTGTGTGATAATAGTGACTACTATTTTACTGAATTCCATTATTTTTCCCTTGGCTGAATAAATTGTAGAGGTCAGAAGTGGGTGTGAGAAACACTGGAAGTAGAGATATAGATGGTTTGAGCACACATGTGGCTGTTGTGAACTGAACCAGAGTCCACTGTGCAGGCAGAGTTTCTCTGTGTCCCAGTAGCCAGTCCCAAATAACCACTCAGAGATTTAGTATTAATTTTAAATGTCCAACCAATCACTTAGGCTTGTCTCCAGCCAGCTCATACAACTTAAATTAACCCATTTCTATTCATGTGTGTGCTGCCCTGAAGCTGGTTTACCTCATCTATGAACTCCCATGTTGCTGCCTCTTCATTTGGCTCAAGCCTCCTCAGACTCCGCCCTCCTTCCCAGCATTCTCGCAGCCACCAAAATCCTACCTAGCTTTCAGCCAATCAGCTTTTTTTTTTTTTAATTAACGATGAGAGCAACGCATTTTCACAGTGTACAGAAGGAATATTACACAGCACTTCTGGAAGATAAGCAAGTACTCCTAATCACTGAGCCATCACTCCATCCCCAATTTTTTAAAATGAGCGTTATGTTCTTTTTATTTTTTATTCTGTCTGTCTGTCTGTCTGTCTGTCTGTCTGTCTGTCTGTCTGTCTATCTATCTATCTATCTATCTATCTATCTATCTATCTATCTATCTATCTTTTCAAGACAGGGTCCTTTTGTGTAACAGTTCTGGCTGTCCTGGAACTTACTCTGGCCTCAAACTCACAGAGATCCTCCTCCTTCTGACTCCCATCAAGTGCTGGGATTAAAGGCATGCACCACCACCATGCCTGGCATGGACAGTGCATTCTTAAGAATAGGATTGCTACTAGCTATATCTAATTTTAAATAAAATTTAAAATTCCTTATGTGCACCAGCCACATTTTGCAGCTATAACTGCTGGCTCCCATACTGGATTGCTGAATATATAAAACATTTTCATATTTCAGAAAGTTCTATTGAATGTTACTGTACATGTTGCAAGTTATCTTTGTGTGACTCTTCAAAATCTCCTTGTTTTATTATCATAACAGCAGGAAATTAAGCTTGAAAGATAAGTAAATTGCCTAGATTGTTTCTAAAGATAGAGAGAGAAAGAGAAAAAATAAATAAAAAACTAGAATAGTCCCTGATATCAGAGTATTTAATATGCAGTGAGAACCAAGATAAGGAATAGAATGTAGTAAGATGAAATAAAACATGTAGTTTTATAAGAACACAGGAAAAGTACATACTTTAGACTCACAGTCAGAATATGTTCTTGGAAGAAGTCCTCTTTGAGGTCAGTGTTGAACAGAAATATTTTTTATTTTATGTGCATTGGTGTTTTGCCTGCATTCATGTCTTTGTGAGGGTGTTGGAACTCTTGGAACTGGAGTTACACATGGTTTTGAGTTGCCATGTGGGTGACTGCGAACTGAGCAGTCAGTGCTCTTAACTACTGAGCTATCTCTCCAGCCTTGAATTCAGTCTTGAAATACAGGATGATTGCATACTATATATATATTAACAAGAAAGATGATGAATTAGGGCAACATTATAAATAGAATGATAAAAGTATGTCATCAGTCACATAGTATATTTAAACTGTTTCTTAAATCAAAACTAGCACTTTGTGGATGGTTGATTAGGGAATGTTCTAGATAAAGAGAACAATGGTGGGTAAAAAGGCTCTTCAAAGTAAAAGAACATTCATTCATCAGGGAGTTAAAAGCTTGGTGTTCTCATACAAGGGGGGTTGTGAGTGGACTTGTGGATGGAGTTTGAAAAGAAAGTGGCACCAGGTTTTAGGTCTTTGCTATATATAAGTTCTAATTTTATTGACAGTGACTTTATAGTTAAAATTGATTTAGAAAATCTAGTCAAGGAATGAGAGTTAGTGGAAACAAGTTATATACTAATATTGAAACACTGTATTGGATACTATATCTTTTTTAGCTAAAATGATATAAAGTATGTTAATGAAATTTTTTATTTAAAATAAATTCATGCCTTTAATGAGAATGGCAAATAATGTTCAAATTTCTTTTGGACTTTTAGCAACCTGGAAGCTTTTCTAGCTGGTCTGGTAGTTTCCTCATGGATGACAGCATGTCTAACACACTGAATAATCTCGAGGAACACACTACTGAGTTTTATAGCATGGATGAAAATCAGACTGTTTCTGCTCAGCAGAACTCACCCACGAAGTTTCTAGCTGTAGAAGCAAATGCTGTACTGTCTTCTCTACAGACTATCCCAGAATTTGCAGAGACTCTAGAACTTATTGAATCTGTAAGTTTGAAATTATGAAATTAATAATGTAATCTCATGTTTAGAAGCTTAGTTTAATATTTAATAAACATTCACCAAATTAAATGTTAAGCATTGGACAATTTTGATATCTTTTGTAGAGGTTTCTGGCAAAAAAAAAAAAAATTAAATGTTTTAAGTCCTCAAGTATGTATCTTCAAAAGATGTTTTAGAATTAAAAACTGAATTCATTCTTTATTAGATGGATTACTTAAGTATATTAGAATGTTTTAAACTAGAGAAACTATAAAGAGAAAAATTTAAATCTATATATTTAGACTTGATCATTTGATATATAGAAACACACACATGTAATTCATGTTATATTTTTATCTTATATTATGAGCGTGTCTTTGGTTTCTTAACATGCATGTAATTTTTGAACAGGGTCTCACTGTGTAACCCTGGCTGACCTGGACCTTCATATGTAAACCAAGCTGGCCTTGAATTTACAGAGATCTTGCTGCCTCTGCCTCCTGAGTGCTGGGATTAAAGGCGTGTGTCACAATGCCTGAATCTTAAACATATTTTTAAAATTTGAATTTTGAGGTTTTATAATATTGCATCACATGACTGTAAGACAGTTTGTTTACTGAATGTGCTGTTGTTACTGTGAGTTTAGAGGGCATCTAGGTTTTTAGTGTCATCAGTAAAAGTAGTGTTTATAGTTTGTTATTAATTCATGACAATGATATACTTGGGTAAACTGAATTTCTAAATCAAAGTATATGTTCCATACATATTCTCAAATAGTTATATAGAGATTTATAGTATTTTTCCATTTAAAAGAATGATTTTATGTACAATTAGTTCTTTTTAATAATAGCCTAAAATAATCTCTCTTTTTGTAAAATTATTTTGCCTGCTAAATTAGATGAAACATTACCTTGGAATATTGCAAACTGATATTATAAAAAATTGTAAAATTTTCTTCTAATATCCTGCCTAATTAAACAGAGATGTTTAGACAAAGTTTACTTTTACTGATAAAAATGAGTGAATCATTTGTTAGAAATTGTCATACTGTGTTGGGATCATGTTTAGTTGGTTACAGTTGAATGAGTTAAGAATTGAATTTTTTGTAGGACCCTGTAGCATGGAGTGACGTTGCCAGTTTTGATCTTTCTGATGCCGCTGCTTCTCCTGTCAAGTCTACCCCAGTTAAACTAATGCGAATCCAACATAACGAAGGAGCCATGGAATGCCAATTTAATGTCAGCCTTGTACTTGAAGGGAAAAAGAACAGCTGTAATGGTGGAGACAATGAAGCTGTCCCTCTAACCTCCCCAAATGTGGTCAAATTTAGCACTCCACCAACCATCCTCAGAAAGAAGAAGCGGATACGAGTGGGCCAGTCTCTAGGCAACGAGCTAGGGGATGGCTCATCCCATGAAGGAAGTAATACAGCACTGAGACACACACCAGTGAAAACACTACCGTTTTCTCCTTCACAGGTACTGATGCTCTCACTGTGTTTACAGACGAGACGAGACGAGTTAAGTCTTAGTGTCTGGATAGCAGTGAACTCAGTATCTCACAAAGGGTAGCATCTGCATTATAGCACCCTAGAATTTCAAGAGCTGAAAGAGAGGTTTTCTTTGTCATATAGTCCTATTTCTTTGTAAGTCTCTTTGGGAAACTGGCCGCTAGAAATTAAATGATTTATTCCAAGGAAATGAGATTTTCCACTGCCAGAGCTTTATGCATCAGTGATTTTTACTGAAGTAAACCCTATGCTAGGAAGCAAAGTGGGAGATGCTTATGTCACATGCCAGTTTGGACATTATCCTTTGAAAGAGTTTGATTGCTAATCCTAGGTGAGATGACTCAAGTATTAGAGACAGTAGTGACAGAGCCAGTCGATTACACTTATAAGTGGCACTCTGGAAGCGATTTCCACTCTTTCATATTACTGCTTCTAGTCTGCTAGTGACAAAAGTAGATTAGCATTTCATAGTAGTATGCAAGTTAAGTCTCAGTTAGTGCTCTGTGTAATTTAGAGAGTGGACTCTTGTTTTGTTCGCTTAAAGTATCTGTGCTTCTAGGCAGGCAGATTTGCTATACACTTAACTTTCAATAGGCAGGCAGTGTTCCTTCCCAAGGCTTGTTCTTCCTGAGCAGGTGGCACTACAGGAGCACACACCATGCCCACTCAGTTATTCTAGTCTGAGTTCAAGATACCCTCAAGGAAAAGTATACTTAACATCATTTATCCATAAAAGCTCACAGTTAGCTTTCTTAGTTACACTCTTGTACAAAACTGGGAGATTTATTGCAACAACTCTGTATGGTTTCTGTAGATCTGTATTTGGTGGCATACTGTTTTAATTTTTTGTACTATTATAAAACCTGACCATTTGTAAGACAACTGTTTCTTAAATTTTTTTTTTTTTTTTAATGTGCTAACCTCTTTGAAGTTGTTCAAGTTTTGGGAGGCAAAACAAATATCTTGCCTTTATGGAGCTTAATTTCCATGAAGTAGAAAGTATATGTAATATTATTGAAAATCTTTTCCTAAAGCAATAAAAAAAGTCTTACCAGTTTGGTATTTGTATAGGAATTTTGATGTTCTAAAATATTGTCTGTGAATTCTCTTCCCCCTTTAGTTTTTTAATACATGTCCTGGGAATGAACAACTTAATATAGAAAACCCTTCATTTACATCAACCCCAATTTGTGGGCAAAAAGTTCTGATTACAACTCCTCTTCAGAAGGAAGCAACTCCCAAAGACCAAAAAGAAAATGTAGGGTGAGTCTGCATTAAATAATTATGTTAGGGAGGGCAGGAAGCATAATATCAAAGGTATGTTAGCATTTTGTTCAAGTGAATGGGATGTCATATAATCTCTATGTCTGTAGGACTTAGAAGTTTGTTGTTAACTGTTTTTAAAGACACAACTTCCTGTTTAGTTCCTATAGAATACTGAAAATTGGCTAAATGTAGCATAAAATTTTTACTTCAAGCAAATATTCTTAGTACTTTTTCTAAGTAATTTTTTTCTTTTAAAATTTTTTAATTAGAGTATAAGTGACTTTAGGCAACCATATTTTAAATATCTCAGTAATGCTTTTAAAAACGTGTATATAAAAATGTAGTTTGCCTTCCTTAACATATGTGAACTCACATCATGATAATAATACAGATATCTGAATGATTGACTAGGTTTAGAACACCTACTATTAGAAGATCTATATTGGGTACTACACCAAGAACTCCAACTCCATTTAAGAATGCACTTGCTGCTCAGGAAAAGAAATATGGACCTCTTAAAATTGTGGTATGTGTACTTTTTATTCTCAAGCACTTTCCTGGTTTTGATTAAAGAAAATGGCTTTTATCATCTTGAAGTTTTAGCATTAAAAATTGTTCTTTGAAACTGAAGGAAAAGTTTATCTCTTAATGTATGAATATAAATTGTGTTAATCTTCCTTGGCCTGTAAATAATGCTTTGTTTTACTCATTTGAAGTTTGTGTGTTCTCATGTTACCTAGAAGAAAATAGTTGTTAATGGCATGCTTATTTTTCTTAATGTTAAAACTTATAATTAGTAGATTCACTGCAGTAGAATTAATCTTTTGGTATATCTAATCACTTAATGCTGCTTAGGAAACTAACGGGTCAGGGAACCTTCTTGAAGTTCAGTCTTCTCTTCTATGAACAAGTTATTAAGTGCACCCCAGTTTTTAATTTTGAACTAAAAGACAATAAAAATTAAGGGGCTTGTCTCTAGTTCCAATATAATGAGTACTGAGTTGTTACTGCTATTATTCTTGCTGTAACAGTAGTTCATGAATTAATACATCTGTGAAGTACTTTAGTTATTTGTGTTCTCATAAATACTGTTATCTTTAAAATGCCTCAGAAAAGCCCAGAACATTCTAGACATATGCAGATATTTTATAAATTTAGTAGAATAAAAATGTGACTTAAATTTGATTTCTTCAATGATGATTTAAATGTTCTATTTTTAGTAATTTTGGGAGGTGGTTCATTACAATTAATTAACATTCATTAATATTTTAAGCAGTTATTTTTGCTGTAAACTGATTAGTTAATTTATATATATACAGCATGTAGGAGATAATTTTTACTATTGGAAAAAGACAGTTAAAAAACAAAGCCCAAGTATTTATTATTATTGTGGGTGCACAAGCAATGATATTCTTGAAGAGGTTAGAGGATAGCTTTGGGGAATTAATTCTCTCCTTCTACCATGGACTACAGGGATGGAACTTGGGTTGTCAGGTTTGTTGTCTTGAGGGCCAAAAGACAGGGTTTTATATACAGAGAGAGAAAAAAGGAATTTCTGGCAATTGCCTTTTAAAACCTTTAAAAAAATAATTTAGTCCCAGCCACTTGCCTTCTTGGAAGAAGACATTCGAGAAGTTTTAAAAGAAGAAACTGGAACAGACATATTCCTCAAAGAGGAAGATGAACCTGATTACAAAAGCTGCAAGCAAGAGGTAATCTTGAGTATTGTTTATGTATATTTCCATAGTTAGTTAGAGGAGGGTCTTTATGTAACTCTAGCTGCCCTCAAACTTGCAAATCTCCTGCCTGAACTTTCTGAGAGCTGTGCTTGTGGGCGTGTTTTTCCATGTCAGCTCTTTCAGTATTACTGTTAATCAGAGTCTTTTTTTATCATGTTCAAGAGACTTGAATATAAAGTTACCTTGTAAATTATTATTGTTTTTTTTAGCATTCTGCATCTGTGAAGAAAGTTAGAAAATCACTAGCCTTAGATAACTGGGACAAAGAAGAACCAGGCACTCAGCTACTAACTGAAGACATTTCAGACATGCAGGTTTGTAAAGAATTCATACATGTTTTTAAATGGCTGTCTTAAGTCATGGTGCTTCTCATATCATAGTCATTGCTTGACCAGATCATTTAAAAGAGAGTCACAGAAAATTTAGGACTTTTTTGGCTACTTCATAGAGAATCTACTATCTATGAAAAATATATTATTTTTTAAACATCTTTTATTTTGAGAGAAGGTAGTTTTCTGTATGATGTCAAAAAATGGTGGTTCACAATGCTTTAAATTTTAATTACCAAAATATTACTATAGCACTAGAGATTTATTTTAGTTAGTTAACAAAATAATCACTGTAGCAAGCACTAGAAGTTTAGTTTGTATAATTACCAAGATATTACTATAGCACTAGATAATTCATCAAAGCCAAATGCTTCCTAAGAGGAAAATTAGCAGGACTTCCTCAGTAGTCTCTTGTCTCTACTTTTAAATTAGTTATTTTCCTCTTTCTTTTTTCTCTTAGTCAGAAAATATACTTACAACATCTTTATTAATGATACCATTATTGGAAATACATGACAATAGGTGCAACTTGACTCCTGAAAAACAAGATATAAATTCAGCCAACAAAACATATACACTTACTAAAAAGAAACCAAACCCTAACACTTCTAAAGTTGTCAAATTGGAAAAGAATCTTCAGGTATGGATTTATAAGTTTCTTTAGTGATTTTTGTTGTTGTTTAGTCAATGATCACTTTAAACTTACTGATCACAAGTTATAGTTTTTCTTTTAGAGTTTAAAATTGACAAATGCAATAAAAAAATCATTGTTATTTTGTCACTGAAAGCAGGTTTGGGTTTGAGAGAGACTCACTTATCAGTGCACATACCAGCTATAGAATTGGAGTTACAACTCCAGAGACTTTTAAGGTTTTGTTGTTGCTGTTGTTTTGAGACAGGATCTCATCTCATTATGTAGTTAACCTTGAAATCATAATCCTGCAGTTTCAGATTCCTAAGTCCTGGGTGCCATCATATCTGGCTCTTTCATGATTTATTTATTTATGTGTGTGTGTGTGTGTGTATATACACATTTATATGACATATTAATCCACTTCTGGAACTTCTTTACCTTTACCTGTAAAATAAAAAAAATGAATAGCCACATTTGTTGTTCTGAAATGGTAAGTAGTTGGAAGCATTTTCAGCATGATTTTGTAATGGCTCCCAATAAACGCTGCATCAGATGCTATAAAACAAAACAAAACAAAACAAAAAATTCCCAGTAAGTAGATGTAAATGAAGGCTGGTAAAATTCTTGTTATCTTAGTTTTGCCCAAAGAATATGAATTGTTGGAGAGGAAGATTTGTTTTTATGCTGCGCTGATTGCAGAAGTTTCCCTGACATTCAAGCATCCCTTGAGAATACCTTTAACAATCAAATATAGGTACCTGTCGTCTGTCTTGAGCCATGGCTTTCAAGAGTGACATGATGTACTCCCTTAATTGATTTAAAATGCTTGAATCCCTAGTGTTTATCATAGAGCTTCTTAGGAAAGTTCATTATGTAGTAATTCTTACATATAATATGGATGTCTTAACCCTTTGATAAGGGAGAAAACAAAGAGGGTTCATTCATAGTTCACTTTTGGATATTATACCTTTACTCTTAAGTTTTTCTTCTTTTTCTTGGTACTGGGGACCAAACCCAAGTTTCCCGCATGCTAGGTAGGTACTCTACCAATGAGCTACATCTCCAGCTCCTCTCTTTAAAACTTTTGCAAAATTTTGGGACAAAAGAGATTAATTATTTCTTTTCCTATTATGATTCATTTGATTTGTGGGGAGATGTTGGGAACAAAACTATTATACCATCACCATAGGCCAGTGAGAAATATATGTAATTACAATAATTATACAAAATTGATCATAAATATTTTAGTATGTGTTTTAAAATATTGCACCTCATTTTAAAAGATATAATATTGTTATCAAAACATTTTATAACAATTACTTATAAAATTCCTAGTCAAAGTAACTGATTTTTAAAAGTCTAGTTATGTAGACTTTTAGGTGCTTGCTACCGACGCTTATTGGCTAGGTTTGGTTCTGCAGCCCACATGGTAGAGTCAGAGGGCTTACTCCTGAAATTTGTCCTTTGACTTTCACATATGTTGCGCAGTATGCTCTGCACACATGCGTGAACACACGCATGTGCGTGAGCACGCGTGCTCGCGCACACATACACTTGTGTGCTCACACATATACAGATGTACACATTCTAATTATGAAGTGGTTTGGGTAGTTGACTTTACTAATTTTTACATCACTATTGATATTTCCTTCATAGTCAAATTGTGAATGGGAAGCAGTGGTATATGGGAAGACAGAAGACCAGCTTATCATGACCGAACAAGCAAGAAGATACCTGAGCACTTACACAGCCACCAGTAGCACTTCGAGAGCTCTGATACTCTAATTGTTACTAACACTGATAGAATTGCTACCCCTTATTGTGCTCTCTGCCATATTAGGATGCAATGAAATTTGTCTCAGTTAATTCTTTTAAAGGATTTAATTACATCCCTAAAATGGTTTGCATTTTTTCTATATTGGACAGGCAAAAAACATTATAAGCCACTTAAAGTAAGGGGTAGGCAAATTCATTATTTACTTTTTAAGAAATGAGAGTTTTTAAATTTGTTTTTAAAGAACAAAATGGGAAAATAAGGATGTTCATTGTATAAAGCAAATTTCATACAATTTCTTTACTGGATATATATTGCTACTTTCTCCAGGCTGTAGTCTGTTATAAACAAGTTAGTCTCTGTTTAGGAAGCACAGGGGCTTATGAGTACTTTTGCACATGTGCTCACTTATTTAGATGACCGTTTATAAAGAAACTCATGAGAAGATGTTTCCAGGATGCTAGAAAGTTGCACTACTAATTTTTGGTATTTTTCAGAAACAATGAAATTAACTACAGTGTTAAGCATATTTATTTGAGCATAGTAATAAAAAAGCGTTGAAAGTGGGCTTTTTCTTACTAGTAAAGAGTCAGTATTTCTTCATAAGTCTCAGAAGAGCTGAGAATTCTGTTGAATGTATTGTACAGTACGTAGGAGCAGGAAAACTGTGTAAATTAGAAAGATGTCTGTTTTTATAATTTATTTTCATTTTTAAAGCTTAAATGTAGATATTTATATATGTATGTATGTGTATACACATACATACATATATATATTTATATACAGGGTGTCTAGAAGCCAGTGTTGCTCCTTGTCATTACAGCTACATAGTAAAGAATAACTTTGACTTTCAAGTATGAAATAGTTAAGTTATAGCTGCAAAGAATACAATATCTATACTGTATGTCACATCTACCTAAATATTGCACTATACCCTTTAAATCATGTTGGTTATAAAGTAGTTCTAAAATGTACTAAATAATAATTTAATATTTTCTTTTTAAATTATATTGGAGGTCATAAATTAATCTGGTGATTTGTGTATGTGTTTGAAATTTTCATTTTGTTTAAAAATGATATGGTACCCTGCTCCCTAAAAGAGTCTGCACTTAGAAAGTTTATTGTATTTACTCAATGTTTCAGAATTAGAAAATATTATCTTTTATTTATACAAATATTTTGTCCTTTTATAAATGTTTTGTGTTTCTAGGTTACAACAGTTGCTTCAGTTGCCTGTTTAGGTGTTTGCACTTATTTTATTTCTTTTTGAAAGAATGTCTTTGCTTATGTGGTAGAGATTTTAATCTAATTTTTGAGACATATAATGGTGTTCTGTCAACCTAAACACTGACAGGCAAATAGAATTGTACACTGTAGTTTGAATTATTTATAATTGACACACTCTCTCCCTCTCCACTCCTGAAGTATGCTGCTATAGAAAGTAGCAGCATCGGCTTGCTGCTATGAGAGATGGAAAGAGCGACCACCACTTGCACTGTGTGAAAAGATAAGCAAATGATGGCAAGTTCTCAAGTTAACTTAATGGGTTCAACTGTGACCAAGCAGATTCTTAGCAAGACCAAAACACTACTATGCCTCAAGACCAAACCAAACAAAACAGCTTAAGATTTTTTTAAATCTATTTTTCTGTTAATAGAAATGGGACTACTGAATATTTTAATGTCTAGTTCAACAGTAGACCTGAAAGGGTTTTAAGCTTTAAATCCAATTGCTAGTTTTGGTATACTATATGTTAGTGTGAAGGAAAGAGCACATGTGGTGGTACTAAGATTATGCCTTCTTGATAACCAATAGGTAAAGCAATTTGACTCTTCTTAGCATGTTAAATATGTTGATTTTTTCTAATTAATGAACTTCTCACAGAAATGTTGCTTTGTAAAACCAATGATTGTGAAAAGGCATACTATATCATTTCAGTTACTTTGGGGTAATAATAGCACATAATTCCTTTTAAAAATGTAGTCTTTAGCTGCATTGGATACAATAGTCTCCCATTGCCAAAGTAAACTATCTCAGAAACGCTACATATTTTAAAACAGAATTTTTCTTGAGCATTAAGTTAATACAAATGTTAATATGTTGTATATAAGCCGGAGCTTATGGAAAGTAGTACATATTTGGGTTGGTGTTGGTTGAATCCTCAAGTTAACTGCTTTGTTGCTTTTTTTTTTATTTCAAGATTTGTAATCATAAACATGTCAGGCATCTTAAGTCATCTTTTTTTACTATTCATTTGGATTCTTCAATTTTCTGAAGATGCCAGGCATACAGGTAGCAGCCATACACGCATGGAAACTGACTACACAATACCATACTGCATTTTATTGTAAGGTTTTTGCATTAATACAGCAATTACACTGACTAAATTGAGTTTTTTTTTAATATATGAGAAAACTTTGCATTGTAAGAGAATCTTGCAGACAATGTTGAAATCTATTAACATCTAAATAAAGCATCTGTGTACAAACTGACATGGTGTTGCTCATTCACTTTGGCTCTGTGTAATGGATTTGTTTGAACCTGTAAGACCTGAGTCCAACATTGAGTTCTTACTCTATGCACTCTTGGAACTCTTGTGCAGGTAATTTCCTCCACTAACAAATGTGGCTTCTCTACAAGGTTTCAAAATATTTCAAGTTCCTTTTAAATACTTCCATGTAACTGTTATTGACATTGGTAATAGAACGTTCAAACAGATTTCTTTTTTCCCACCTGGACCTGCCCTTCGTCATGCTTCTAAATGCAATTGCTTTGTTTATCCACTGAATAATTTCTCAGCTTCTCTCAACCTCCATATTGAAATCTGTCATAAAGACTCCCTGTATAAGGCCACTTTTATCTCTCTATTTGAATTATTACACATTGCACTGAGCACATTCTGTAGGAATAGCAAGAGACTGCCCTGGCATTAGAGTGTCTCCTGGGAAAGGCCAAGTGGCCACCAGTCAGGTATTGGCAATATTGCATCATCTAGTGAGTTCATCACTATTACTTAGTTTCCTAGGCCTAACAATCTGTTGGAATTAACTCACTGAAAATGAGTTTACCTCTCAGTAAACGACTTACATAATTTTTAAAAACTTGATATATGAAACCAGAATTCTACTCGTTTGTATGAAGCATCAAGCTGCAGAGGACTAGGTACATTCTCACTTTTAGATTTAAATAGAAAGAAATGATAACCACATGTAGATGTGATCAAATCTCTGAGGTTGCCTAAATAATGGTGATTCTTATTTGTTTTCTATTTGGGGCCAGTTTCCACACTTCATTTGCAATCCTACTGGTGACTTAGCTTTCCCAGGAACATGTATATACTCTACTTCTTTTTCTCATGTCTGTTTTTGCAATTTTACTTTTTTTTCCCCGCACTGTCTCTTTAGATTGTTAAAGTGTCAGCCATATAGCACAGGTCTGTGAAGCATTTCCTGAGTGCTTCATAAAATGTTAACCCTCTCCTTCATGCTGTTAATGAGTATTTCATTTCTAAGTCTTATCAGTGGGGCTAGAAAATCTTGGTAAATGTTGAAAGTCTTTTAATAATTAGGGGTTTTTTGTTGTTGTTTTTGTTTTCCAGGAAATAATAGCTATACTCACATAACAGGTTTATAAATAGCTTTGATTTCTTAGTCATTTTTCTTAAGTTTTGCCTTACAACTAAGAAACTTTCTGAGAATCTTTTAGCTCACTTTTTGTAACTGTGATTTATTGCTTGATTTAGTTAAGGAGTGATAAGCCAGCCAGGTAATCAGATCTTTAATTTCTAATATAAAACAGATGATAGTATTTGAAGAGGTACTTAGTCTCTGAGAAATGAAAATATATTCGGTAGTGGAGGTTGAGTTGAATCAAGAGATATACTTTGGGATATTAACTTTCCACTGTTTGGTTTTGAAAACAAGTACAGATATACTCAATGAGAACATGTGAGATAGAAAGGCAAGACTAAGAACGCTTGGGGAAGAAATTATGTGGCCAGTCTGATAGAAGACTTTGAAAACTTAGTATCTCAGTGCAAGCACTTTTAAAGCTATTGGGATTGAGGGAAACTTAGTTTCATGGTATATGCACTGCACTTCTTTCTGAAATTCCTAGGACTAGTGTGCTTCCTCAAGTGCCAAGTACACAGTGTGTTTGAATCACATGGGTTCCAGGAATGGAATTCAGGCAAGCATTTTTTTTTTTTTTATCTACTGCGCCATGTTGTCACTGTTCAATTTTAACTTCTACAGTTTTGCCTACCATAGCTTAAAGGGTTAAGTATTCTGGCAATTTCTTTTTTTTTTTTTTAATAAATTTTTATTTAAATTAAAAACAATCTTATTTTACACACCAATCCCAGTTCCTTCTCCCTTCTGCCCTCCCATGCTCCCCACCAACCCCCATCCACTCCCCAGGGAGGTTGAGGCCTCCCATGGGGAATCAAAGTCTGGTGTTCTGGCAACTTCTTAAGTTCTAATACAGTTAGCATTTACTTATTCAGCTAAACTCAGTACTTCGATGCTCCCCTGCTAGGTTCTGAGGATACTCTAGGAAGGTAGTGTGTGTGTAGCGGTTATAATGCTATTCGTTAAGGTCACCAGTAACAGAGAAGCTAATATTATAGAAAACATGTAACAGAAATAGTTCTCCTTTGGTCAAAAAGTGAGCTAGATCCAGCAGCCAAGTTTGCTATTACATATGAGTGGAATATTAGGACTCAGCCAAGAAAGTGAACCCCACCCCATCCCCAACCCACCAAACAGAACTAGGGTTATATGGCTCCTTGGAGGCTTTGGCAACTAAAAGTTTGAATTCCATATAGCAGCTGTAGGCACATGCTGGTTACTATGCTAAACCCTTACATACTTAATCTCATTTTAATCCTTACAGCACTCGTTTGAGATAAATACTCTTATAATCAATCCACTTCTGTGGATATGGAGTAGGCTTATGTTAAGAGACTTGTCCAAACACGATGCTGAAGCTGGGCTTCAGTTGGCCATGATTTAGACCGATTCTTCACAATTCAGCACAGGGTGCAAAAGGTTATATGGTATATGATTCCATTTATA